AGTCAAGTGGGACAGGTGAGAGTACCACAAGCAATCATGATAAATTATGCTTAAAATGAGGAAACGATGAATGCACTCTACTTGAGGAGCTACTGTACATGCTTGTTGGTGATTGGTTTGGCTTTAACCTACTTTGCTACAGGGGGGGAAACCTGCCCTTTAGGACAAAGCAGTCAGAACCTTCTGAGTAGGAGGAGCCAAGGGGCAGTTATAAGGGCAATGGAGATGGGCTGGTGTAGGATTGTTGAGCAGAATATGCTGGAAAGGAGCATCTGATGTTTCTCATTTAAATGGAGGGGGCAGAGGTGGCTGGTTGGATCAGGGGTTTTGTCCTTCTCTAAACCTTGTTGTGAACTCCTTCTACAGTAAACGGACAGTAATATGGTCAGAAGGAGCACGTAAAAACGTTTCTGAACATGTAAGAATTTGATGCTTAAAATGTTTAGGGAGAAATGGAATACTAGTGTGTATTTTTTCTTTAAAATACCAATACCAGCACTATACAGTACAGTTTACATAATATGTTTATGTTCCTAAATTAATATCGTTTATGACCTTCAGATGTGTTAAGATCCTCTTCTTTTTATGCTCAGCTACTAAAAATTCCCTTTAGTGGTAAAATTCCATATAAATATTAAATACTAAGGGGATTAAAATGTGCACAGTAAAGAGATTAAATTATTTAATCTTTTCACTACCGACCAATGCACCACAAGTGCCCCTGTCGGTCATTTTGGTTAGCCAATTACACGGCGCGGTGGCGCACGCGTAGTTGCCCGTAGTACGGGTTTGTACCGTGCATTTTGAATGGCTGCATCTGTAAGTGTCTTTGAATGTCGACTTACAAAACTTTCCATTTTAAACAAAAGCATTTCATCTTTCTTAACACACTTCTACAGGTATTTTTTTGGTGGTGGTCCAGAGTTGAAGCTGATATTTTGGTTACTTCAGCTGGATGAGACCTTTGGATCAATTAGCTACAGTACCAAACAGGCTAGATGGTGCTTAAAGGCCTCCTCCCATTTGCCACTGGTCTTATGTTCTTATGTCCTTGAGTTACCAAATAAATGATGAATTTCATCTTTAAAATAATAATTAAAATTTAAACTACAAAAATTAAACTTCTGTTAAAATGTAAATGCCAAAAAATTATTTTAAGATGATTTCGATTATTATTTACAGCAGCTTGAAAATTAGCCATGGTTGGCACTGAGTTGGCACGGTTTTTCATTTTAATCATTTACTGTATATTCCTTTCTAATTGGACATTTCAGTTAAAAATAAAACTGAGAAATAAAACTGGAACAAATAATAAAGAGAATGAGAATGTAAAGAATGGTAAAAGACAGCTCTACAAATATGTACTGTAGTTTGCTAGTCTTCATAGTTAATTTCCAGATAATTCTTCATAGCAGGAATGCCAATTCCTTTTATGTCTCTGCTGTCAAACATATCTATAAACCCTTATTTTCAGTTTACAAAAGAAGATCTAGGACTGTGATCTAGCCCAGATTCTTTAGTGACAATCTCTTTTCTGTATTTTAACATTGGGGTATTTTATGAGAAGAACATCTGTACAGTGAATGATGTACAGAACATTTTATAGGTTACTGATTCTGTATTTTTATTTTCTATACAATTGATCTAAGTTTATTATTTTTTACTTTGTTATTCTAATTATATGAGATTGGACTTTAAAATATTTAAGAGAAAAATAACACATAACCAGAAAAAGTCAAATATACTGGTATTTCTTCATTTAGTCACCTAAAGAAATAAACATACAGAACCATAGTATTTCAATATAACATGGAGAATTTATTTGTTTAGTTGTGCTGAAAACCAGATTCTGTTATGCTGCAATGAGTTTGGTCTGCTTAAATTATGTTCTGCCAGCTACATTTGTCACGATTATAGTCCCCCCTCCTTAAGGGTGCTCCAGCCCTTCACTTGAGACTTTATTCTGTGCACCTGATTCCTATTCCCAGCCCACCTTAAAAGCCAGGCGCTGACGCTCATCCCGGCTCTGCATCTGGTTTCCGTACCGTGCGAGTCCGGGACCTGGAAGTGCCTGGTCCCGTTAAGGTTTTAATCTCGGTTCCCGTTCCCTGTCTGCCGGTTCCGACCCGGCCCGGCCTTCGTGTTTTAATTCCGCGTTTTGATGGATCTCCTGCTTTTGGACTTACCCTTGCGTTTTGGATACTCTTTAAGGATTACTCTTTTGGATTGTTCGCCTCGGCCACACCTCCCCCGTGCACCAGCGCACCTTGGACACGCCCCCCTGTCTTCAGCCCCGTTTTCCTGCATGACGTTTTCCTAGTGTTTCCCCAACTTCTTCGGATTGTGTCGTCCGGAAAGAACTGATCGTTACACATTTTCTGGATTTGTTACATTTATTTGCATTATCGGACATAACTGAGCTGTAATTCTAGAACCTATATGTCCAAGGAGTGCGGTTGTTTGACGTTAATAATAAAAAAAACACTTTCATTGTTTTCTCATCTATGAAGACAGGCGCTCTTTAAAGAGTTTTGCTTTAAAAGCTACAGTACCTTACCTGCTTTAACTGTTTAATTAATATGTTTGGTTTTTCAAATATACTTTTATTGTTGAAAGCAATTCATAAGAGAAATAACGATTTGTAGCACTTTTATTTGCTAATCTGCAAGTTAAAAGTGAAGAATTCAAGCCAAGGTATGCTACTGTATGTGAAGTTAAAATTGTACCTGGCACTAGTAAGAACTCATTTACAAAACTGTATACAATTTTGGTCATCATACAGTATACAGTTCATTGCTCCAGGGAAGACTGACCAAATAAAATCCAGGCCTCAAAGGAATGCCCTGCTGTGACATCCCAAGAATAAAATCGTCTTAGTCTAAAACAGAAAGGACTATGAGCAGATCTGATCTTGGTGTTCCAAATCCTTTAAAGCGCAGACAAAGTCAAACCAAAGAATGTCTTCATGGTTGGTGCAAATCAGAACTAAGGGGATATGCTTTATAAACTGAGGACTAGAGGCACTTATTTAAACAAAAACTTGTAGAAGTATTGAACAACTATTTTGGCCAAGCTGATACACATGCTTTTTTCAAGAAACAGCTAGGTTACATCCTTAGATCAATTAGCTAGCAACATACGAGCAAGATGGGCAAAATATTCAGAATATTGAGATACAGTGTTTAGTCTGTCTCTTTACTGTCATTTTTAAAGTTGATATATACTGTAAGAACACTACCTGTAAATGTGCTAATTAGATACTTATTATGAAGATGTTTCTTATTTGTAATTTCTGATCTTTATGCTTTCAGGAAAACAACTTTCTGTGAGAGAATAGTCATAAAGCTGATTTCAGAGTAAGCTTTGCTAGAAAAGAATAAAGGATGAGTTGTGAGAGCAATTGTAGTAGCCATTCTGCTGTGCTGAATTCATCACAGCCTGACTCTGGGAACAACAAACATGAAGCTCTCTCTATGAATATATTTGGAGTGAGAGAATTTGCACATATTGTACTTATTCTACCGATAACTTCATGCTTACACAGGGATTAGTCACTATATTTAAAAATTTAACAGTGCCTCAGTTAAATGACCCAAAAGTCGCAAGTTTCACAACAAAAACTAAACAAATAACTAGGAACTTGATGTGGCTCAATGGAATAATACAGTATGAGAAGGATCTTAAATACTGTGAATATAAAGAGACTCATTGTTGTAGACTTACCAAAGACATAAATATTAAAAAATTGGCAGATAAGTAGGTATGAAAGCAGCAAGAGTAATATTATTGAATAGCAATAATACCTGTTTTCTGAGTTCTGCACAAAAATGCTAATTAGATTTAGTGTACTCACAACACACCAAACACTGACTGACAGATAGACAGATCAGTTTGAGTTCAGTTCCTATTGGATTTCATACCAGTGGAATTTATGTCTATGGCATTCATAACCACTAAATTAAACCTGTTAGGATGTAGATATTAGTCACCAAGGGCTTCTTTTTGACACTTTTATTAATTTAAATGTAGAACAGGATTTAAGCACACAAATCTCCATCCTTCACAATTGTCTTATTAGGAAAGTCTCTGAAGACAAACCCTGATGTGTTTTAAATGCAATAAAGGCACTTCAAACATTTTTTGCACAGTAAGGAAAAAAATGCATATTAATAATGTATAATATTTTTTTCAAAATGTCACATGCAAAAATGAAAGATGGCTTTATAAAAATGTTCCATTAACATAATTAGTCATTTATAATAGATGATTTTGGAGTTAGTGTATCACAAACAATTTTATAAATATTATTCTTTTTTCCCTATTGAACTCCATCTATAAACACAAACTGTAACTACAGTAATTGTTTTTTTTTCTATTTTTTCTCCTTTTTTTAGGTTGAGAGGTGAAAATAATGTGTGGTTTCAAACTTAATTTTTGTTTGGACTTTTAATTTATAAAATGTACCATTTTCATAAATGTGAGATTTCAATCACTGCATTCAAAAATGAGCCATTATTGTAGAAGGAGCATCTTCTACTGTATATTTTTGCTGTCACTGAATGAAATTGCAAGCTTTAGAATATCCCATGTTTGTGTCCAGGCTGATTATCTCAGGATATGACTTTTGGGTGGGTTTTAATTAACTGTACAAACTATTCAGAAAGCAAAAGGGCAAAAGGGTAAACGACAGAAAATGAGAAAATGACTTCAGTGATGTGTTGCTTAAAAGTACAATGTATTTTCAGCAGACATGAAAGCATTGCGTGGCACAAATTTTCTGCTAACACTTGCTCAATTCTCCTTATTTGTGTTAAAATTTGTGATTAAACTGCAAGTAATTTATGCAAAAGCCAACACACAGAAAATAATAAATTAATTACTACAGTATATATGACAAGAGACATCACAAATAAGTAACAAAGCACAATATATACAGTATATTTCAAACCATTCCTGAAGTATTTCAATTACAGTAAATTGCTTGTAGGTCTTGCACTTACCACATTCAGTTTGAGTTCCATGTTCAAGACTCCACCACTATCTAGGACAGGCATCAAGTTGATAGCAAAAACAGCCGCTCTGTCAGGTGGGATGGAAATATTTGGCCCGAAAAATATATAGAAGTGGACAGAAAAAGTGTCCAGCTCATTTCGTAGGGTTGGTCTTATGGGCCAGCATTTGTTTGCATCTGATGTTGGGGCCAAATAGGTGGTCCCCTCTTCAGAAACGAAGACCGGACTTCTCTCCGAGATGTTCTGGGACACGGGAGGCAGACCAGCAGCAGGAAGGTTCTCAGAGAGGGAGAAGCCCAACACAGAGCCGAAAGACTGGGGCATGTTGAGAGCTGAACTCGGTGATCCTCCCTTTGTAATACTGGGCTTTGAACAATCTGGAAAACAAGATGCCAGATGTAAAAAGTATGGCTAAAGAAGCCAAGCAAATCAGGACTTGGTATATTCATGCTACTGTACATTTGACAGTAAGGAATCACATCCATATGAAATGTAATACCACATTGTTACCTGCAATTAAATTGTGTGCCAAAACAAGACTGTAAATATCTGGGAATGTTTTGAACAGAGAGCTGTGCTAAGGAAGAAACAAAAGCCACCAATACAATCAACAATGCTGAAAGCGGGTCAGAGAGCAATATGTGAATGGATGCTTTTTACACTTCCCTTCCCACGTTTGAAAAAAGCAAGCTTCTGTTGTTGATTCCCTCTTCCTGAGACAGAAAAAAGTGGGCTGGATAAAATGGAGCTCACATCAACTGAACAAGCAGTTTGGGTTTTACTGATATTTGAAGTAGTCCACCATTGGTTTGGTATCCATGAAATATAGTATACTGCGTTCGTTCTCATAGACACCAGTGATGTGCCCTCAACAGAACACCCACAAAACTGTTGAGGTCTTTGAGACCATTATGTTGATTCCACTAGTTGTACTGGCTGGACTGGGAATAAACCTCTAGATATGATGTTTCTAATGAAACCTAACCTTCAATTCTTTGGGAGATGGAAAAAGACCAAAGCACCCAGCCAAAGCACTCACATGAACACAAACAGAACAAACAAGCTCTGTACACACAGATGCCCAATCAAATGATCAAACGTACTATAGGACACTGGAGGTGTGAGACAATAAAGCTAACCCTAGGAGAGTACCATGCTTTTAAGTATGTCTTTTCAGGCACCCTAATAATAGTACCAGTTTTTGTAAGTGAACATAGACAGTGGAGGAGGTAAGGATATAGTGACCCTAGGAACAGCAAAACTATATAATTTAATTTACCACCATGTAATTTAAATATCAGGGATGGGAATGACAACCTTAAAAGTTGCTGCACTCTAAAAACTTCTATCATGGTTTTACCCTTTCAGTAATCTCTTGTTTCAATTAATTAAGTGAATCCTAAAGCATATTGGAGCATCTCAGCTTGTTGATTTAAGAACTCTTGGCTCCTGCTCAGAATTTTCTTGTTAACAAACCATAACAACTCATGACTCAGTCTTGAATGACAATAATTAAGACCAGAAGGGAAAGTTTGTCATTAAAATCTTTATAACAGTACCGTAATCCAAAGAGTGAAAAGGCTGGCCTTAAAACTGTCAGTGTTTTACAAGGTCATTTGCAGAAAGTGTACAATAAGAAAATGAATATGCTGTGAAGTCAATAACCCTGTGCTTAAATAATATAATAACAATAGCCATTACTGAAATAAATGAGAGCCGTTTACAAACTGAAGAGAGAATATGAGCAAAAATAAAACCAAAACTAAAAAATAGCCCCCTCTAAAATAATAATCCTCTTGAGCGAATATATTTTGCTGAGTTTACACAAATCGATGAATTTACGAATCATGTACAGTATTGCATGTGCTGTATTGTGTATGATTGGAACTTTACATTCCTTATATTGCAAATAATACAAGAATAATCAACTGGTTGCTATTTTAAAATTGGAATTAACTCTACTTTTAGACAATTGTTTCTTGGGCCGCTCCTCCACCTCTTTCACAGTCATTGGGCAGCCCCTCATCTGCATCCATAATATACTGTAGGACCATACAGTAGTACCCCCTACTGTGGCCATGGTGTCAGGGGCAACTCCCCTTCAAACACTGGGAACATTGGGGATATTGTCTACTCTCATTCTCTAGCAGCTACACCTGTTCTGAGGACATCTGTTCTCCCCTCTGTAGCATTACCAGTTCTGGGAACAGCAGCTCATTCCTGTTTCCGAGAACTTCCCACTCAGACAGTGTTACACCATGGCCCAGTTTCCTTTTTTAAGGGAAAGGACCTCCTGGTTTTGTGTTTACCCCATTCTGTAGACTGGAGAAACGATACATTTTTGTTGATATGGTTATGCATGGGCTGAGCTATGTAACAAGTGGGATTTGATCACAGTTGCTGGATTATGTTTTCAGCTTGATATTGAGTGGAGGCTGAAAATGTATTGAAATGTATTGAAAGTATCTATTGAAAGTGTGTTACATTCATGTTAAGCCAAATGCACATGTAACAGTTAAATGTGCTTTTACCTTCATTTCCCCTCATCTATCCACTTTCTTCTATTCACATGGAGGCCTGATACCTTGTTACTGACAAATTGTCTGAGCACCAAGACTCAAGACTCGTTCTGTTCCTCAGTATCACTCCTTTGATCCATCTCATTGGATCTTCCTTCTGAGCCCAGATAGCAGGCACAGAACCCCACATAGGAGACACTGAGCCTCAGCTTATTGGTCTTCCTGGTAAATTCTCACCTGACTCATCAGGTGACCACAGGCAATACTGTAGATCATTCCCCACAGCCTTATGGGGAATGAAGTTGAGACAAGGACCTTAATCTTGCTTCCTCCTACTTCCTTCCTTAAATGGTATTAACAGAAACATGACTTTCATTTAAGACTTTGAGGCTTTTCAATTTTACCCTCCTAACATTACGTTTTTTAGTTCTGTCAGAATAACACAAGTTAACAATTACTTATTAAAGGAAAGATTGCCCAAGTGCAATAAAATCTTAGATTCTGTTCCTTCAGCCCTTGCCCTTTAGGGTTTCGCTGTCTTTAAAGTATCTTGTTATTCCTGACTAGCGGGCCCTGGCAAGGGGCAGTGGATTTGCCTTTCCCTGTCAGAAAAAGATAAAGAGCAGGTAGAGGATGGGGAAGAAGAAACGCTTCAGAGCACAGAGCAATAGCATGGAGGTTGGAGGTAACTTTACAGCTCCTTTAATTGTCATTTATTGGATGTGGCCGATTTTCAAATGTCAGTTGGGTTTAGCAGACACTGTTTCAAAAATTCTCACAGGGGTTTAGAAGGCAAGTGCTCTACATACAGTAAGACTCATCACTCAGTAACACACACATGCTTGGCATGTTTCTCAAATTACATCTTTTTGGTTTCAAATTAATTCAGGCTTTTTGCAAAAAATGTAATGATATTGCGACTTGTTTTTATCCCATTGCTGTATCAAGTACTAGTTCTCCATGGCATGGCTATAAAGCATCACATTGCAATAGGTTTCAGATACTCTCCATTAAAGAATGACAGTGCATACATAAAAATGTTAAGAAGAAGCTTGGTGTGCTCCAGGTGAAATATGGCATTATATTTATGGCCAACTATGTTGCCACATTATCAATTTAAATTGATTCAGATTAGGATGAGGCCAAGGTGTTTCTGTGGCTAGTTTGTGAGCCATTCACCTTTGTGAAGAGCAGACATGCACATAAACATATGCTGGGAAGAGCATATGAACAGGTCTAGGAGTACTAGAAAAGTGGAATTTTGTAATTGTAGAAGTTTTACTTTTACTCATTCAATGATGTACTGTACCAAACACCATTCATTCTTCTCTAAAGTTTGTAGAATAGTAATGTTACATGTGATGCTCAAGGCTAATGAGCTACAGCCATAATGTACTCAGTTTCTTTGAAATGAAGGCTCTGACTCAACCTCACTAGACAAGCACCATCTAATTTTGTCTCACGGTTATGAGCTTACTTAGATAATAACCCCAGTGTTCAACTTTCAGTGCATCTTGTAATGCTTTTAATTTTAATCTTATAATTGCTTTAGCTGTGGTTTCATATGGTATTAGCATGAATGTGCTATCAATGTGCTTTATGACACTGGGGTTAACAATGTTGTACTATGAAACTTCTGTTTTGGTACTATACACTGTATATATGGTCCAGTTTCGTATAGATGAAAACCTGTTAAAAGAAAAATTGTAACAGACACGGACTGGAATCCGTGTCAGATCTTGTAGAAGACCCTATGCGATGCGATAAGAGCTGGAGAAAACAGGAGGCGTGGTAAAAAGGAACACACAGGGGTTTAATAGTGCACAAAATAAT